ATTAATGTAGTCGCAGGCAGCGACGTCGACTGAGGCAGCATCAATTTCCGCAACGCCAAAAGGCTAAGCCAGATTTCTCGGTTTGGTTTCAGTTTGCTTGTTGCTCGCTCAAAGGCAATTGTTGCTATTGCCATTGCCATTGCTATTGCTATTGCTATTACTATTGCTGTTGTTTCGCCTGAGAATTCCTAAATGCTGTTGTCTCTCACTATTCAATTATACACGAAAATACAGAAGCGTTGGAAGTATGGTTCTGGAAAATGGTTAACTCTTGAATACTCTAGAAATATAAAAGTGTAAAGTAGGTTATGAGCTAGCATGAGTCTTTGAATTATTTCAGAATTTCGGTTTTTTATTTTAGATTTTTATGTCCAGCCGTTTTGGCTGCAGTAGGAACTTGCCGTTTTTTAAGTCTTACTTTTATGATGTTTTCCATATATTTTAATTTCAAATATTTTATAGCCTACTTTTAGATACCAAAATATGATATTATTTATGTTAAACAAAGTATAATACATATAAAGTTGCCAACTAAAATCCCGTTAGAAAAAAGTCGAGCAAAAACAATGCAAATAACCAAATTGTAACAGCAGGTGTGTATCTAAAAGTCCCCCGCTGATAACCATCGAAATTTGCATAATTCAAAACCGTTAATCAGCCCAATTGTTTCCACACGGCAAACTCACACACACTCACAGTCACACAAACCAATGCACAAATAGCCATTAGTATATGCACATCTTTATGAATACTAAATACTAAATACCGAGTGCAGATACACAGTTCCAAAAGCGTGTTCTACTTCATGGCATCGTGAGCATGCCCCACTTTTTGGTGAGGGCATTACAAACGACCAATTGCTCGCTCAGATCTGTTCCTCCTTTTCTTCCTCTTCCTCTTCCCCACCATCTTCTTGGCCACTTGTCTAAGCAAAATGCGTAACACACACGAGAACACTCACGCACACACACAGTCTCAGTCACACGGAGAAATCAAACAGAAATTCAGTTTGGCATAAATGTTTTCTTTTGATATTTTAGCAAGCAACTAAACATTAAAATGTATAATTTATGAAAAACAAAATTACGCAGCGCACAGAAGAAATTCCCAAACGGATCTACTGCAATGTAATTAATGGTCTCAATCGAGTGAAAAAGAGTGGGAAAAAACCCACAGACACACTCACACACTTTTTGCTCAATTTTCCTCCTGATTTATTTAGCACTTTTGATTTATGATTTTTAATTTCTGCCATTTTACGTCTTACGAAGTCGGCACCTAATAAATCTGCATTTGCTATGCACAATTTCTCGCACAAGAACCAGAGATACGAAAAAAGCGAAATAAAATGTCAAATAAATAAGCAGGAAGATTGGCTTGAGAGCACATAATAATATAGCTCAAGATCTTCTGAAAAACATTTCCATGAAAAGACCTAAAAAATATTCGATCGCTTTAAATCTTTCATAACTTAATAATTATTTTACTTTTCAGGCTGATAACAATTGAATTTCTTTTGTAACTCATAAAAATGTTTTAATTTACTAAAAACTGTTATTCATTCGTATTGTTTATATTTCTTTAATCACTGAGTTTTGATAAGAATATTAGCGTAATATTTGCTCTTTTTCATTTGTTTCTTTTCTTTTCTGGTTTTCACTTTTTAGACACTAACTTTTTGAATCACTTGAACACTTTGTTTCTTCATTAAGTTTAAGTGCATTTTTGTAGTATTTCTTTTTAATTTGTTTTCTTTTGTTATATTGCCGTAGTCGTTGATGTGTTGCTGTTATGTTTTTATCGCTGAGGGAACGAACCGCAGAAACGAAAAAAAATGCTCAGCTTTTCTTTGGCTAGTGTTGCTGTTGCTGCCGTACGGCTATTACTGCTGCTGGTGTTGCTGCTGCTAGTGTTGCTGTTGCTGGTGTTGCTGCTGCTGCTGCTGTTGCTGCTGCCTCAGCTGCTGCTGCTGGTTTGTCGTGCGCCGTTTGGCAGTCGGTTGAGTACTGGCACGAGCCGCTGTCAGCGAAACCAAACGAACCGACTTCGAGCGACGAGCGACGCCAGCAGCAGCAGCAGCAGCAACACCAGCAACAACATGACAGCAGCAGCGACGCCGGCAGCGAGAAAGTTTGCTTTTTGCATTGTTGCAGCGCTGCGTTGAGTGAGTATCTGTGTGCGAGTGGGTGGCTGTTAGTATGGGTGTTGCTGCGGGGATGTTGCTGCGGGGATGTTGCTGTTAGCCCTAACAGACGCCTGATAAGCTGCTGTTGCTGTTGCTGTTAGCATGTTGCATGTCAGCTGCTCTCTCTCTCTCTTTCCTTCTCTCTCGCGGCTTTCATGTTGAAACCAATTCGTTTGTCATTTGTTTAATGACACAAATATTTGCACAAAGTGTTTGCATTTATGTATGCCGCGACAACCTGTCTTGCCCCCTCCCCCTTTACCACCCTCTTGTATTTTCGATTTCCATTTTGGCGTCATGAAAGTTTTCCCTCAATTTGTATTTGTGCCATAAATTTGATTACCACTAATAGCCTAATAATAATCCAACTAATGATCGTCGTTTCTTTCTTTTTTTTGGGCTGGCTTTCAGGCAAATTGAATTCGCTGCCTGTTTTGATGGCTGTTAAATTGGGTTGAGCCTACAAGGACACCGAAGGAAATCCCAACCGAAAATACGAGTAACAACAAACACCGTGGAACAACTAAATAAGGAAGTGACACCGGAAACGGGCAGCGACGTCAACGTCGAAGGAATGCGCAAAGGAATTTGAGAGGGGGGTGTTGGGAAAATTCACAGGGGGTGGGGGTTACAGGAATCACTCAAAAATCGAGTCACTCAAAAGAGCACGAACCTCTCTCTCTTTATCTCGCGTTTTTTGCTCGTTTACAAGGCAACGACACCGGCCGGCTGAAACTAGTTAAGGCCACCACCAACAACCCTCTTTTGCTGGCCACAGCCTCCCCCTTTTTACCCGCCCCTGCCACGCCCCCTCCTCCTCCTCCTTCGACCGCTTACAGCTTAACCTATAAAAATTCCGCAAGCCCAACAACAGCAACAACAACAAATGGGAACACTCCACTCCGTACGCTTGGGGAAAATGTATAAATGTGAAAATGTTCTTTTTCAGCTCTCTCGGAAAATCTGGGCGCCTGTTACACACGCAACGAAGTTGCCAACACAAGCTCACATGCACGCACACTCGCCAAGCGAAGCTGTTGCTGTTGCGGTGATGTTGCTGCTGCTGCTGCGATGATGTTGCTGTTGCTGCTGCTGTTGGTGTTGCTGTTGCTGTTGCCGCCGTGTCAGTGCCGTTCATTTGTTTGATTTTGTTGTGATTATGCGCAGTGCTTCGGCGGCAGAGGCGCCGGCTGAGACGCCAGCAGCGGGCAGAGGCGTCGTGGTAGTCAGCGACCCATGGAGGGCATTTGGGAGCACAACAGCAACAACATCAGCATTTACAGCAACAACAGGCGACGGGCAACTCAATTCTCGCTCCATGTTGCGATACACTTGGACAACTCGAAAATGTGATAAGACGTGCATGTGGCACTTCGATTTCCACCCGATTCGGATTTTAAACCACTCTGTTTTATATCAGAGTAAGAAGGACTTCGAGGCATAATCGAATTCACATATATAAGGGTTAAAGAACCAAAAGAATACTTCCCAAAATCACCAAAATGATTTATTTTTAGGAATAAGATAACGAAAAAAATTACTGATCTTCAGTTAGTAATTTTCAGAATATGGAGGACTTTGAGTATAAAAGCCAAGCTATACATAGAAAATCAACAAAGTAATTATTTTCAAAAACAGGATTACCAAGAAACTTGCGGATCTTTAATTAATGAAGTTGTCAAATATAAAGTTATAAATCAATACAGTTAACTCCAGATAAAGTAAGCACTGTGTTATATTTATATCATTAAAAGTAAATTTACAAAAAAAAAAAAACTTAAAAAAAAAAGAATTAAAAACAATTATTTTTAAAACTATACCTAGTAATTGGATAAAATTATTTTAAACAAATATAAAATGGAAGTTAATTGATATATGCACGTTATATAAAATATAAATATTTTTCCAAACTCCACTATATTTTCAAAATATCCACCTTTAACCATAATTTTCAATCACTGCTCCCGTCAATGAATGACGATAAATATTTTTTGCTCTCTGTTGCTATTCTAGATATTCCGTATAGCCAGTATTGTCTGTTTGCCTCGACTCACGGCTGTTTGGCTGCTGTTTGTGTGTCGTAAAAACTCATTGCCAGTTTGGGGCGTCGCTCAACTGGAAATGTGGCCAAGCCGAAGCTGAAACTGAATCTAAAACTGAAGCTGAAGCTGCAGGTGTCTGTCTAACCCAGTCATCTCACATATATATACCTTTGTATACATCTATATGTATAGGAATATTAAAAAACAAGAGAGAACGCTATAGTCGGGTGCCCCGACTATCAGATACCCGTTACTCAGCTAAAGGGAGTGCGAAGGAGATGGAGAAAAACTTTGATCCGCCGTAACTTTTTAACGAATGGTCCGATTAAAAAAATTTCTTTTACATTTCGATAGGTATTGATAAACACAATAAAACTGCATTTTTACTTTTCCAAAATATTGAAATTTTTAAAATCGTATATAAGCGATTGTGGGCGTTAGAGGGGGCGTGGCACCCTTTTAAAACAAACTTGCGCTGCGTAGGAACTCCTAGAATCTGCATGCAAAATGTCAATCTTCTAGCTTTTATAGTTTCCGAGATCTCAGCGTTCATACAGACAGACAGACGGACAGACGGACAGACGGACATGGCTAGATCGACTCGGCTAGTGATCCCGATCAAGAATATATATAGTTTATAGGGTCGGAAACGCTTCCTTCTACCTGTTACATACTTTTGCACGAATCTAATATACCCTTTTACTCTACGAGTAACGGGTATAAAAAGTAGTAGATGTGCCAGCCCCTATGTAATTGCGCTGAGCATTTCTTTGTGCGGCTTAATTAGTGGCTGGCAGCCTGTTTTTCACTTTTGAGGTTTATAAATGATGTTCGCAGAGCCAAACAAACGGTTACAAACAAATAGCACAGTTACAATTTTGGTTCTAGATATATAGCCCTCCTTTAAGTTGCCTTCTTTGGGGCGGCAACATGATGGTAGCGAATCGAGAAGCGACTGAAATTATGCGAGGTGATCTCCTTGGTGGGCGTGAACTCCGCCCGTTCGATAATCGCCCGCGGACTGCCGAAATTCAATAGCCAGAACTTGAGCTCGTTGACCTTGGGCAGGGTGCCCTCCAGCTGCCCCTTGACCGTTCCCTCGTCCGTGTTCATCACCCATCCGCGCACCTCGTTCAACGTGGCCAAGTCCCTCGTCTGCTTCCTCAGGCAAACGCCCTGCACTCGCCCAAAGAGCTCGAAGCCGCAGGCGAAGATCTGGTCCCCCGGCTGCATCATCTTCTTGTATCTTAAGTTTGTCTTCCAAAATCTCCAATTAAAACGAGAGACCAAAAGTACTATACGGTATAGAAATTTCGTTAATTTTTTACACAAATGTCGACAGTTGCTGATGTTTTAGACAGCCAAGGGTTGCCTTAAAAGTAAAGTTTTATAATGAAGTAAAAACCCTTAAAAATTTTAAAAAATAAAATTCATATTTAGGTTGTATTTTTTAATTGCTTAATGGAAAATCAAATATATTCTGATGAAATGATGGTGAAATTCCTTTCAATGGTTGTTGACTTCTCTGCTTTTTTTCTAAATTCAGCTTCTTTCTGTGTTTAATACACACTAAAATTCCATGTATACCCTTTTAAATTTTTATAATGATCTTCCAATGTTCTAAAAATAAAATTGTTAATTTCAATCCGATTGGAACTTCCTAAGTAATACCAAAATATATACTTGTGTTCAATGTAATCAAGTGCAGAAAGTCCTTCTTCCTTTTTCTACTTTTCAATCAGATTAAAATAAAATTGAGAATCAAAATATGGGGTTCTCTTCTCCAAAAGACGAACGATGTATCGAGCGAAGCGCTAATGACATTGTATCTATTGTATATCTATGGCATACGGCTTATAGCATATATCGTATCCCATATCAGCACGGGGGACCCATAAATCACTGGCCACACTCACTCGCACACTCACACACTCACATGCGACGCCAAGTTCATCTCATGGCAATCCAATCAACTGGCAATGCCACAAAAGTTTGCAACCACCGAACCAGGGGCGAAACCCCCCACCCCCTGGCCCAAAACTCCCCTGCCCATGGCCGCCACCCCCTCGCAAAATAGCAAAGCACCACCTATGGGCAGCGAACAATAACTAGCGAGATAAACAGACAAAATACGCCGTTAATGCAAACGCGAAACGCCGACATCGCAGGCGATTCTAAGGCAAATATTTAATACGATATTTATGGCCTAGGCACAGGATGAAAAGAAAGGGAGATGAAGAGAGACAGAACGAGAGAAAGGACATGGGAATGAGGTCCTGGGCGCCAAGGTATTTGCAAAAGAAGCCTGTGATAAATGACTACGTCTACAAGTACTCTTCCCCTTCCCCTGAATATTGGTTTTTCGAAGACTACATAAATTATATTTTTGCACAATTAAGCCGAGTTTGGGCCAATTAACTAAACAGTTAATTCAATAAAAGATTTTTAGTGGGTTAAAGATTTGAAATTCTTCAAGCTAAATGGAAATTTAAAGAAACATTTAAAAGAAAATGTATTAAATTAAAAATCTCTGTTGTTGGTCGAAATTTGTATTGTCTCAAGTCAAGTAATCCTGAACACTAAATAAAAATCATTTTTTTAATGATTTTTTTTTAATACTCCTTTAAGTGGAACCAAAGGTTTCTAATTTTTCTGCCTGACAGTTTAGTTTAGTTTAGGTTTTCAACCATTTCAGACATTCCCATAGATTTTCCGCTCACACCGGACACTCTTAAGTGAACCGAAAATATGTTGAAATGGCCCTAAAGCTGCCAATTTGGCTAAGCGAATTTTAAAGTTTTCGCAAAGTGGAACCAAAGGCTTCCACTTCCAATTTGGCCGGCACGCTGTGGCCAATCCAACTCGAACTCCGTCGTGTGCCCATTCAAATGAAACAGCACGAGCCTCGGGTTCGTTTTCGAGTTTCAGGTTGAGTCTACGTAGACGTCGCTGCCTCCGTCGACGCTCGTCGTTCGATATTGTTGTTGCCGAGCCGAAGGTGAGCAAGCCAAATCAAACAAACCGAAGCGCAGCAAAATGGAAGGGAGGGGTTAAGGGGGTTTGCAGGGGGGTAGAAAAAATACGTTGAAACGCTTCAAGGGATTTCGCATGCCTCGCTGTTGTAGCTATGTATGTTCGGTATGGGTATAGGTATAGGTATATCTATAGGTATAGCTCATGTTGTTGCTGCCAGAAACTGCGCTTCAATTGCGACAGCAACAGCAACAACAACAACCAGTCGGTAAACAAAACTCGGCTTCTCCGAAGGCAAACTGCGTGAAGTGAGAGAAAGAGAGAGAACTGTTCAGGGAAGAGAGTGAGAAAAGTAGAGGGATCTTTCAGAACGGATAAATACCAGATAAGCTTTACTTAACAGGCGGATTTATAACACTCATACAGGAAAAAGGGGAATCCTTTTAATATAATTTATTAAAATTTACTCAAAAGTGATCATGATATTAAGGTTTGAAGGGAAGTTCTTATATAGAACATAGTAAAATTCGATTTCCAAGATTATTAGAATACAATTTCCAGTGATTTCTTCTAACATCTTTTGAATTTGTGGATACATTTTCTATAATTATTACAGAAAACCACAATTCAAATTTGTAAGTTTTAAAATATTTTTAAGAGAAATAATTTCTTTTATATTTTCTTAAGATTTTTTTCTACATTTCAGAAAGCCAAACGGCGCCAAGCACACACACACAAATCAACTCAAATCGAATCGGAAAAGGCGAAACAAAAATACGAAACAAGAACAACAATTAAATCGAATTGGAAATTAAAAATAAAAAGTACAGTACAGTACGCTCTTTCCCAAGCCCAAAGCGTTTTCCCCGCCGCTTTTCCAAATTGAATTTAAATGCAAACGAAAGCTAAATACTAAAATTAGCTTAAAATAAGTAAAGCAGACAGGGCAATAACAACAAGTGAATAGAAAATCAAAGCGAAGCATATAAAACAGCGATAATTCAAACGCAAAATGTAAACACTTCAAAGCCGGGCGACGGGGAGAGCGGTCGGGAAATGCTGGGGAAAGGCTGAGAAAATACAGTTGCATAGGAAAATCGGAATAATAAGAGAAAGAAGTCGGATTTGGTTGGGTGTATTAAGGGGGGAGAATGGTTGGGTGGAAGTATGAAGACTTGACTTGGCCTTTAATATCTCACTCGCACACAAGCAAACGCACATTGATTTGTTTACGCAAATGACACAATTATTATTCCGTGCAGTGAGAAAAATATACTAGATAAAAATGAAAACTAAATACAATTTATGATTATGATATTGTAATCCAGATTTCTAAATATTTGGAATATTTGTCAAGTGTTTCTCAAAACTTGATTGAAATTGAGTTATTTTTGTTATTCATGTTTAAAACATAAATGTATCGAATAATAAAGTTTTCATCTATGATTTTTCCCTGATTCCATCTAGATTACCAAACATATCGGTGATGTATGAGCATTCCAGCGAATCCACTCAGAGAACTGTTATACACACTCAATCTCTGAGCCGTCCTACGCTGCGTATACGTAACCCGTGATCTTGGCTTCAGCTGCTGCTTATCAAAATAACTCAGCGATGATGCAAACATTCCAGCAATGGCGATTCCTTAATACTCGAATACTTAGCTCAACTTACGGTTTTATCTGCACTTCATGCATATTTACACGAAACAACAATGCGATGATGATGATGATAATGGGGAAAACAGGGGGGAAAACTCACCTGCAACGAGAGGAAGGGAGAAAGAATACTGATTAGCCACAAATGCAGCGTAAACGCAATGAGAATGATAAATCAACTGGCTAAAAATACAGCAACGACAACAACAACAACAAAATCACGTCAGCGGCCAAATAAGGCAAACAATTGCAAAAATCTGCATGTCGACGTCGCTGCCAGCGTCGACTGCGCAGCTGCGTCTCAGTCGAAGAGCTAAAAATATTTCACTCGGCTCGCTTAGAAAATCCAAAATTAGCTGGCACGGCGTGCGCACAAAATCCAAAATGAGGGACACAGAATGAGGTACAGTGGGGTAAATTCTATGTGCTGATTAAATAAAGCTAATAAAGTCTGAACCTTTTTATCGTTATCTATAAAAGCCTTTTTTATGTTTATTTGTGGGAAAGTTTACAAATATTTTAGATATTTTCATTTAACTTTATAAATAATTTTTTTGTTTTTGGAATTCGACCAATAGTTGGATTATTATTATAAAATCAATGGATAAGTTTGAAATGATTTAAAAATCCCTTATATGTTTTAATAATTTTTTGTCTAATTTAAATAATGCAGTTTACGTTTAATAAAATAAATGACTTGGGTTCTGAATAAAATATTCCATTTCCCATTTCCCCAACTCTTTGATATTTCCAAATTTCACCCACAGTGCGGCGTTTGTGGCGTCACCGTTGAGCGGCGGCAGAGGCAGTGGGCAGCGACGCCGACAGCGTGCGACAGCAGGTTGGCAGAAAGTCTGCCACTGATAACGGGAAATGGCATGCCAGCAACAGCGGCAGCAAAAGCAGCAACAATAAGGAGAGCCAAGCCTTGCCGGCCCCCACTCGCTTACACTTACACCAGCACTAACACTCACTCGATGGCGCTCTCTCCCTCGCTCGCAGTGGCCATGTCTTCCATGCTCTCGTGGCTGGCAACGCTCACGCCAAAATAAACAAAACAAATGTAAAGTGCGCCCCCTTTAGCAATGTAGTATACACTGACCAAAACCATATGTTCATTGCTAAATATTTATAATTTGTTGTATGATTATATTTAGACCCATAGCTCTGGGTTGTTAAAATAAAATAAGAACCAATTGATGAAATCAGAATAAAACATCTTTGAAAATGTAACTAACTGGAATGCCGAAGAAATCTCTTAAAAGTGTGTTGAACAGTATGCTCTAAAAATTGTACTTGGATTTTCTCAATTAAAATATATTGTTGCCTACTTCAAGGAAATATTCTCCCTTGATTCCTGTTTTTAATAACTTTTATTTGATTCCGATTTTTCCTTAATCGATACTATTTTCCCCTGTGTACGAAAAAAACGAGCCTACACGCTACCCCACCGAAAAACACCCAACCACCTAGGACAAGCCATGAAAATAAATATGTGGGCATAACAAAAATGAAAATTGTACGCGAAATGTGCCGCAAATGGCAGCAGATTTGCCATTAAAATTTACAAAGGGTCTTTCTCCCCGTTTCGGGAACCGAGTGGAAATCCGAGAGAAAGAGTGGAGTGGAAGACAGGAATATAGAGAGAAAAGAAAACATAGACAAACAGTCGGA